AAAGTAAAATGAGATCTGCCTGTACAGCAACAATTATGTGACAAGAAGAATTTGGTTAGGATGTGGGTGCTGTGGCTACTGGTCACTGAATGCCACCAACAGAATTAATTCCATACTTGACACTCTTTTCAAGTCATCTGCTGGGGACCCAACATCCCAGTGGATTTGACTGACTATACTTTAGCTACAAGGGTTGAGGGTAAGGAATATACATATATGGCATTTTTAGCTAGCGTGCTGTGAAGAAGGACCTTTCACTCAGACTCAGAATATTTAAATGGGATTCCAAACAGGACCAGGATCCAGAAGCTGAGTAGCCAAAAAAAGAAAAAAAAAAGAAAGAAAGAAAAAGAAAACGAAAAGTCCCTTGTGCCTGTTTAAAATTCAAGAGAATTCAGTGAGTTGAGAGCAGATAGTCTGTGTGAGTCCAGTCAAATTTTCACTTTTCATTAATAGGTTTTTAGATGTGAATCAACAAATTCATTTTCAATATATGTTCATCCTAGATCCAAATGATACATTGAGAAGTAAGGTGCTAGTATTAGGGGAACCTGCCTCCCCCAGATGTTTTATTATTATAAAAACAGCACTGGCTGGTGTGGTTGGAGTATCCTTTCATCCACCAAAAGGTCGCACCTTTGATTCCTGGTCAGGGCACATACCCAGGTTGGGGGTTCGATCCCTGATCAGGTTGTGTACAGGAGGCAACAGATCATTGTTTCTCTCTCTCTCTCTCTCTCTCTCTCTCTCTCTCTCTCTCTCTCTCTCTCATTTTCTCTGCCTCTCTCTCTAAAATTAATTTCAAAAACACATATCCTTGGGTGAAGATTAAAAAAATATCTCAGCTAATTATAGTTCATTAAAAGAAAAAATATCATTTACACATTAGTCTCCAAACATCAAGCATATAATAAAGTCGAATTGAGATGATAGAAAATCAGTTTTTCTGGCTGACCTATGGATCATGACCTATCTAATCTCTTTTCCTTTACTTAAAAACTATATTCTCATATAAACTAAATATAATGTACTTTTCCCCATTTAAAACATATAACCCACAATTTCTCCCTCCATGCTGGATTATTTGCAACTATATATAAGTATTCTCTAATATGTCATTATTTTAAAAAACAAACTCTTCCCTTGACCCTTTAACCCTCCAGTTACCTGTTTCTTTGCTTCCTTACCAAGAAAAATGTAAAGCATTTTGAATATGAGTTGTCTTGAATCCCTCATCTCCCATTCTCCTCAACCTGCTCCAGTTGGGTTTCTGACTCAGCCACCACCTACCTTGATGAGATCACCAACAGCCTCCATGAGCACTGATCCCAAAGTTACCTCTCAACCTTCATTTTACATGACATTTTTATGACTTTTTAACAACATATGACTATTGTCATTGCCCTCCCCCTCTGCTTAAAAAGTATATTTTCTTCCCCACATTTTTGTGATACTATCATAAATTTGGGCTTTCCTTTTATCTCACTAGGCTAGTCCTTCCCAATCCCATTTGCTTGCTTCAAAATGTTGGCCTGCAGCATTCTCAGTGTTCTCCTTCTTAAAGAATTCAACTCAGCCTAAAACTTTGAATACCATCTACATTCTGGTAAGTTCTAAATTTACATTTTCAGACCTGACCTCTACTCTGAAGTCTAGACTCATCTATCAAACTGCCTATCTAATATCTTCTCTTAATTCTGTACTCTAAACCTCTAAAGTCTAGACTCATATATCAAACTGTCTATTTGATATTTCCTCTTAATCTCACACTCTTATTTCCCACTATCTCAGTTATAGTATGAAAAACTCTGACAGCTCAAGCCGAGAGCCTAGGTGTCATCCTTGATCTCTCTTTACCTGTCCCCATCACTTCCAATTTATCAGCTAAGTCTATTGCTACACCCCCAAAATATAGAGGACCATATTTTTCTGAAAATAAAACTATTTTGTTTCTTCCTTTTCAGTTTGCTTAATTTTCTTATCTTAATGCATTAATGTGCCGAGCCAGCACAACCATGGGTGAACCTGAGAGGGGGTGGTGAAGGATGGAGAAGATAGACAAGAATATAAAGCTGGGGCTAGATGGATGCTGCCCTCTCTGATGGAGAGACAGTGCCACAGCCTGCAAGCCAAGTCTTTATTTTATAGCCAGATTCCACGAGGCAAAGTAAGGGAATGGTCAAGATGTTTACAGTGTTTTCACGGGTTTCGAATATACTCAATTACATGCACCTGATCAAGCTTTGTTTACTTGCTGCACCTTCTGCAGCCTATATCACTTAGGCACGTGAAACACAGATTGGGACCATAAGGTCAAGCTTACAACTATAGCCTTTGGCTATAATTGTTCTGGGAAGGCTTTGCCCTCCAAGCTAGGACTTGCACATGGCTTTGCCACGAGAGGACCGTGCCCTCTCATTAGTCCAAGGCTTGAACCTGTTCAAACACTGTAGCTGCTCTCCACACATTAATAAGGACTTCCAAGGATATACTGAAGATAGCATTAAGAGTGAACATTCTTCTCATGTTCTTGAATTTAATGTGAATGCTTCTAACTTTTTACTACTGAGTATAATGCTTGCTAAAGGTTTCTGGTAGATGCACTATTTGTTACAGGACATTTTTTTCTACTGGACTGTGCTGCAAATTATCTTTTGGCATGATCATAAATTTTTCTCATGTAATCTGAATTTAGCGAACATATTAGATTTATTAGAACTGGGTCATCTTTGCATACTTGAGATTTACCAGTTCCTCCAATCCACTTCCCCTGGACTTGGGACAACTCCTGTGGCCACAGCTACTCTGAAAGCACTTTGTATTAGGCAAGTTCTTGGTTTTCTTTAATCATGTGATACCATCTCCCTAGATCTTTTAAAAGGAGCCTGCTTTCTGGTTTTCCATTGCTGTGTGAGAGGTTTTGAAAAGACCTTGTCTTTCTAGTAATTTACAGCCAGGGGTTGAAGAGGCTGGAGTCTGTGCTTAGTGTGCCATCTTGAGGACAGATAGGAAAGAACTCAAGTTATTTTGGTTGATGTCATAAAGAGATTTGGGGATCATCTTGATTTAGGGGAATGCCTTTGATCTGGAATATAATGACATATAGCAGGGCCAGGAAAAGTGATCTTTCACAAGAAAGAAAAACCCCTCAAACATTAATGCTGGCTGAAGTTCAAATAAGGTGAGAAAAGAAAACAGTATGGGAAGAAGTGAAGACAGAGACTATAAAATGTCAAGGCCTAAAAAATTAAATTAATAACTGATGATTTCCCTTGAAAGTTTCCATCATCATCCCTACAAAAAATTTTCTACAAACATTCTTAAAAGTACTGAATCTTTAATATATAAATGGGGTGGGGAGGAAACCAAAGGAAAGTTTCCTTCCATCCAGTCTGTCAACCAATATAACCAAAATTTTTATGTAGCTAGGTCTGAGATAGAAGAAAGTGGAGGAAAAATTAAAGTTATATGGAAACTTCCTTCTAGATTAATGGAAAAATTTCTTTTGAATTTCAGTAATTATCATAGGACTCTATTGGGTATTTAGTTGGGATAGTAGTTGGGAATCCTTAATCAGTCTTGTATACCTTTATTGAGTACACAAATACCTATGGAAAACTTTTGATGTGCCAGGCACTTTGATATGTATTGGAAATAAAGTCCTGAGAAATGCAGGCTCAGCCCTGCCTTCATGAAATGCACAGCCTAGTGAGGGAAAAGAACATTAAACAAGCATTAATTTCAAATGTGATGAGAATTATTAAATAAAGCATGATGGGAGGCATGACTTCAGGTAAACAGTAAGCATAGGTCATTAAATTGAGACTTTAAAAGAGGAGACACCCAGCCATTGGTCATTCTGATCAGATTCCTGTCTTTCCAAAGCTGGAAAAAACCCCAAATTCTTTGTTTATGACAGTTTTTTCCCTCTTTATCCAAAGGTTTCTTTAAAATCAAGACTGTGTCCTGGCTGGGTAGCTCAATTGGTTAGAGGCGTGGTCAGCAAACTGCGGCTCGCGAGCCACATGTGGCTCTTTGGCCCCTTGAGTATGGCTCTCCCACAAAATACCACATGCGGGTGCGCGTACAGTGCGATTGAAACTTTGTGGCCCATGCGCAGAAGTCGGTTTTCAGCCTGGGCGAGTCTATTTTAAAGAAGTACTGTTGATATTTGGCTCTGTTCACTAATGAGTTTGCCGACCACTGGGTTAGAGCATCCACCCAAGGTTGTGGGTTAGATCCTGGTCAGGGCACATACAAGAATCAATCAATGAGTGCATAAATAAGTGGAACAACAAATCAATGTTTTTTCTTTCTCTCTGAAAATCAATCAATGAATAAAAATGAAAAAGATAACAAGAGTAAATGGTTTCAGAATCATGGAATTCCAGAGGTGGAGGCCGTGGTGACCATCTGCTATCTTATCTTTACCATCAGTGGAAAACTGGCTTGTGTTCTCACTGTCATGACTCATGTGGAGCCCACTGACTGTGAGGAAAGCGATGTGAAACCAGCAGGGTTGCCCCAGGGTAAATCCTCTGTGAGCAAAGACAGGGGTCACCTCACTTTAATCACAAACTTACGAGGACTTGAGGAAGGTGGAATATGTTTCAGTTGAGCTTTTCTGATGACAGGTTTAGATTATAGTCAAGAATCCTTCCAGAGGCAGGAGAAAGGATAAAGGATAGGCTAGGACCTCGACAATGCAGTAGGAGTGACACTGATATTCATTACAATCTCTTACACGAGGACTGAATGCCAACCTCAGGGTGGTCAACTCAGAAGTGAGATTCCGTTTTCAGGTTGTCCACACAAAACTGGGACCTGGAGAAAGCTTAAGGATACCCTTACACATGGGTACATGTTATGGTGCAAACACATTCACCATTATCAAGTAATACATTTTTATCCCCATGTCATGGGTACCTGAGTCATTAGGAGGGCTTTAAGTTTAGATGTATATTGAATATGCTCTGGGGTCAAACATTAAAAGGTAAACATTTATGAAATCACTACTTTTATTTTGAAACAAGAAAAAAAAAAGAATACAGAAGCACAGAGAGGTTAAATGGTTTTCCATAGAGCCAAAGGCTCTCTCCACTATACCACCCTGTCTCTCCTGCTATTAGAAAAGTTCTCAAAGCACAAGAAATTAAGATCTTTGTTCAGGCAGTAGTGAGGGAGTGATATCAGATTATTATGGTAATCCATGGTCTTTAGAAATATTGGTCAAAAATAGAAACAAAGAGCCTGCAGGACCTTAAGATGCCAAGACGAAAATTCTTCCACTGGAGGACTAGGATGGTGAAGCACAACTCCTGGGGAGAGTGACAGTATAAGCAGAGAAACAATACAGAGAAGTACCAAAGTATTTTCCTGAGAAAGTTGTCTTCATTTTGTCTTTGGACCTTCACTGCCTTTCTGAAGACAGGGAAGTAAGTAGGATTCAGGCTCAAGGTACATGGGTGGTGGAGCTGGCCAGTGACCATTCCTGTCCCCAAGTGACTCTGTACATTTTACTCCTCAGTATGGATGTGAACCCGCAGGGGGTTTTCTTCCCACCAAGGCAGACAAGCCAGGCTCTCAGCCACTTCCTTCTGGATGGGCCAGCCCCAAGCCTTAAAGAATGGAGCCAGATTCTTCCGCACTTTTTCAGAGAACTTCCTCACCCACAGATTCATTTTGCCAGTGTTGTCTTTGGGGATGCTGGGTAGGGTCTGGTACTCAGCAAAAAGTTGGGTGAATGGCTCCCATCCAAAGACCTCCTGGAGCTGAGAAGAGAAAGAAGGGGCAGGATGAGACATCAAGTTTCCAAAAGTAACGGCAACATGCTTGTTCATAAGAATATGTCCTTTACGGCCCTACCGGTGTGGCTCAGTGGTTGAACATCGACTTATGAACTAGATCACAGTCGATTCCTAGTCAGGGCACATGCCCGGGTTGTGGGCTTGATCTCCATCAGGAGGTGTGCAGGAAGCAGCCGATCAATGATTGTCATCATGATTCTATCTCTCTCTCCCTCTCCCTTCCTCTCTGAAATCAATAAAAATATATTTTTAAAAAAGGATATGTCACTTATGGTAATTATTGCCTCTTAATCATCTATTAGCTTCACTCCTATTATCTGTTCCTGTCTCTCCACCTGACCTCTGCACATAAATACAATCCCATTGGCTCATTCCAACCTCCTATTATCCAGTAATTCCAGAATCTGGCCACAAACCTATACTCCCTGAATCCAGTAGGGGACATCATGAGAACCTAATATCTGACAAGGGGTATGTACTCAATAAATGACAGTTGTTGTTATTATTATTATTGTCTTTAATTAAAAAATTAGATCCCCAGATCCTAACTGTTTTCCTTGGCATCAGACAGGTTTGAGCCCTAGTGAGATGAGAAACCTTCATTTTGTACACATTTGGGATGATATAGGGAGAAGAGGTTAATAGAGCTGAATTTTGACAGGTGATCTGACAGGTAATAGACAAGATGTTCAAGCAAGTTGAGACTGCAGGAAGGAAACATGGGGAGGCACAGAAGCCTGGAACAGCGAGATATGCTCATAGCGGAAAGCAGCCTGGTATACTAAAGGGTAATTATGGAGGTGAGGATAAAGGGTCTTCTACACTTCCTCCTGTATGGAAAGCAGAACATTCGGAAAGTGTTAAATGTGGAATATTAAGATTGTTTTGGAAGGTGGGTGGTAGAGGTAGAAGCAAGATGCTGGAACAATTTAGGAGGCTTCTGGAGGCTTCTGGAATAGACAAGGAAGAATAATGAGGGCCTGAGTGGGAGGAGTGATGGTGAGCAGAAATCTCTCAGGTACAGAAAGCAGGTGTCTGCTTGTCTTGAGGCAGAGGCTCAGACTCCGAGATGATAAGTGTGCCCATAACTTTTGCAAAATGATATTCAGGGCTTCACGGTGAGTGGGTATGTGGGGAGGGCAGAATTAGGTTTTTAACTTCCAACTTCAATGGCAACCTCCTACCATTTAAGGCCTGTTTCCTTATAGACCCTTGGACTGGCTATATAAGAATACAGAATGGATGCAATGCAAAGTTATTTCATTGACATCCACTCTTTAGAAAATGAGTGAAAGAAGAAACAAAAAAGAGGAACTCATCATTAACTTCTGATTTTAAGTTCTGGGTCCATTCTTTAAATGTATGATATTGGATTGGCAGTTTAAACTCCTCAACTTAGCATGTGCCTCTGTGAAATGTGTCGCTGTCTATAGGGTTGAGGTGGACAGCATAGGAGATCTGATATGAAGAACAGCTTTGACAACTCCAAACTATTAAAATCCCAAGCAGGACTGGGGAAGGAGACAGGGACTTATGTTAATTTCATATAAAGCAGACCTGGTTCAGGGCTTCCTTCCACTTGGTTGGTTGGTTTGTTTATTTATTCATTCTTAAAGCATTTGGGTTCAAGTGGAATGATGTAAGTCTGAGAATCTCCTTAACAGCCTGATCTCCTATCATGCCTTCCTGCAGTTGTCCCATAGACAGACATGTCACTGTTACTATGAAGGGATATAACACTTGACCCATAAAACTAAGGTGAGGTAAAACAAAGCAAAGCAAACAATGAACATTTCTGGAGTACTTATTAGGTGACCAAGGTCAATACCAGTGAGTGGAAGAGATATGATTCAATCTCAAGAAAGCCTAACTCAACTTCTGCCCTTGGTCAAAATACCAATAGGCTGCATTTTTCTCTACTTACTTTTTCATAACACTTTTCATTTCCTCTTACTTATGATTGCAAAATTATAGGAGGCAAATGGGACAGGTATAACTATCTCCATGTAGAAATGTATAAGCTGAGAAGCACCACCATATGTCCCAATCTCTCATGTCCAGGGGAGGTGGTGGGCCTGGGCTGGTGAAGAATGTTACATGACAGAGGGGTCTTATACCCCCCCCCCTCACTGAATCTTGGCTCAGTACCTGTAGATATGTTTCCAGAGCTGTCCACACATTCCAGTTACACAGGGGGGCTCCCTTGCCCAGGTGCTCTTTGATCCTCTTCTCTCGTTCTGGAGGGCTCAGAGCAGGGTGGGCCTGAGCCCTGGGAATGCCCAGGACTGTCTCATGCACATAGACTGACCAGAGGTTGCAAGTGGCCTCAGTGGTGTGCGGGGGGAACTCCCACCCATGCCGCTGCTGGTTGTGGCCCAGCTCATGGATGGCTCCCCACAGACCTCTGCTTCTCATGTTGGTCTCATTGATGAGCTCCTGCACTGATTCCAGGTGGCACATGATGGGGTACCCTGAATGCATCCAGCCTGGGAACCAAAAAGAAAGAGAGGAGGCATGAGGTGGGGTACCCAAACCCATCTCCCTTCATTCCTCTCTATTCCAGAATCTCTGTGCTCATTGGAAAGTAAATGGCTTTCCTATATACTTCACACAGACATTCTTGGTATAATTCATTTCTTCATTTTTGTGTGTTTCCTCTGGGTGCAAGGCTGTGACATTATGTCCTGTGTCTGAATTTGAGATCCTCAAGGCTAGAACAGCATCATCTCTTCACCTATGCAAACCACTGCTGTTTAGATGTATACTCTTTAACAGACAGAATCTTGTCCTTTTTAAAAGATCACACTGAAATTCCAGAGGAATTTTTTCCACTTGATACCAGACTTCCTTATTTTTTCTTTAGATTCCCTCTTTTCTCTAAACCACTCAATACTTAATATAAACCTCTTTTCTCCCTGTTTTCATTGCCACTCTGACTTATGCTGGAAGGAAATGTTTCTATTTTAGCCTCTCCTTGAAACAACCCTCAGTGTCATCTGTGAACTCCTAGAACCATTTTTCCTGAGATTGTTCTACCCATCCTGTGAAATCTCACCTTGTAGATGTAAATGATTTACCTTCTCACATGTAACATCTTTGCATCCCATCAAGGTCCACGTCTTTTATGGCTTTTTACTTTTATTGGTAAAATTATGCCTTTCCCATATTGGACATTTAAAAAGGCAAAATGATAAATGGTGTCCACTGACTAGGAGTCCTTCCCTGGAACACCCACCAGCTGAGATTTGTACGTCAGCAACAATCCTCTCCGGACGGTGGAACGGGAAAGGCTGAGCTGCCAATCTGGCTATAGCCTGCATCATCTCATCCCAGAGGCGGAGCACAGGCTCAGGGTCCTCCAGGGTCCGGAGGTTTTCAGTTGGCACCGTCAAGATGATGTTGTCTGTTGCCAGCTCTCCCCAGGGAGCCAGGCTCTCCTGAATACAGCTCTTCCACTCCTCCTGGGATGTCTTACCTACGAATAAATATCATGGATCTCTCAACCACTTCCCCAACTTCCCTTGAGCTGAAAAACATAACTTGAACTCTAGGAAGAGGACACTGAAATAATGAATTATCATCATGTGGGTCTCCTATGAAGGGAAGGATAGGCCTCCAGATCCTTCCTTTAGTTCTATGAAGGGAAGGACAGGCCTCCAGCTCCTTCCTTTGGTTCTACCCTGAAGTCTCCATAGGTACAGGGTGTTCAATTTCTCCTGCCTCCACTTCAACCTTGAACAGTTCTTCCTCCTTCTGTCCACCCATCCCTCTCCCTCTCCTCCTTAGCAACCAGCCCCTAAACTACTACAGCATCCTTAGTGCTCCCTCTTCCCTCAATGTTCAGTTCACTTACCCAGCTTGTAATATGGGGCAGGCACAGCACTCTTAATAGTGATGGACATGGGTCCCAGTTTACTGCCTTTGGGCACAATGACATAGAAAAGGCCACCCCAGAGGCAAGAGACTGACTGTTTGGTCTTGTTCATACACCATCGGTGAGACACTATAGGGGCTCGAGACAACTTGCTGGCTTTGTTCAAGTCATCGGTGTGGCAGCCAATCTGTACCTGCGGTGTTGTGTACATGAAGGATATTAGAAAAACTTCAAAAGCTCCAATATGGTGGCAGAGTAGGTGGAAGTTACACTCACCTCCTCCCAGGACCAAATCAAAATTACAACTAAATACAGAACAATCAACCTGAATGATGAACTAAAGACTACCTGAACAGAAGTCTTATAAATAAGGATTTGCAGAATCCACATGGAGACTGGTAGGAAGGGCAGAGAGGTGAAAGGGCTGGTCTTGCAGCCATGTGCAGCAGTTGAGAATACCAAAGGATATCTCAGCTGCAAAGGTACCCCCTGAAGAACGTGGGTATCAACTCAACTCTGAGCTCCCAAGCCCAGAGTACCAGTGCTGGGAAGAGGAGCCCACCTAACAGCTGACTGTAAAAATCAGAGTTTAAAAACAGAGAATCTTAAAAGCAGTGAGAGAAAGATAGTTACCTACAAGAGAGCTCCCATAAGCTGTCAGTTATTTCTCAACAGAAACATTTCCAGCCAGAGGGATTGGCATGAAATATTCAGTGATGAAAAGCAAGGAACTAGCCCTGGCCTGTGTCACTCACTTAATTGAGAGTTGTTTCATGCAGCAAAATATCAAACTATATTATAGGCCATAGTAATCATAGTATGGTACTGGCATAAAACATGCACATAGATCAATGGGACAGATTAGAAAGCTCAGAAATAAACCCATACCATGCACAACAAAAGAGGCAAAAACATACAATGGGGTAAAGCCAGTTGATTTAATAAATGGTGTTGGGAAAATTGGACAGGTACATGCAAAAATATGAAACCAGACTACCTCCTAACACCATATATAAAAATAAACTCAAAATAGATTAAACCTTAAATATGAGACTCGAAACCATAAAAACCTTAGGAAAAAACATACTGAAGGCCAAAACCGGTTTGGCTCAGTGGATAGAGCGTCGGCCTGCGGACTCAAGGGTCCTACAATGGGGTAAAGCCAGTTGATTTAATAAATGGTGTTGGGAAAATTGGACAGGTACATGCAAAAATATGAAACCAGACTACCTCCTAACACCATATATAAAAATAAACTAAAAATAGATTAAAGCTTAAATATGAGAATAAAATATATTTTAAAAAAAACATACTGAAGTATCAGATATTTCTCGTAGCAATATTTCTTCTGCTATATCTCCTCGGGCAAGGGAAACAAAAGAAAAAATAAACAAATGGGACTACATCAAATGAAAAAGCTTTTGCACAACAAAGGAAACCATCAACAAAACAAAAAGACAACCTACTGAATGGGAGAAGATATTGGCCAATGATATATCTGATAAGGGCTTAATATAAAAAAGTTATAAAGAACTCATACAACTCAACAGCAAAAACAAATAATCCAATTAAAAAATGGGCAAAGGACCTGAATAGACACTTATCCAAAGAGGACATACAGACGACCAAAAGATATGAAGAGATGCTTAATGTCACCAATTATCAAAGAAATGCAAATTAAAACCACAGTGAGATATCAACTCACATCTGTCAGAATGGCTATCATCAATATATCAAGAAACAACAGGTGTTGGTGAGGATGTGGACTGTTGGTGGGAGTTCAGACTGGTGCAGCCATTGTGGAAAACAGTATGGAGTTTCCTTAAAAAATTAAACATGGAACTGCCTTATGACCCAGTTGCTGGGGTCCAATCCCAGCGGGTCCAGGGGCCCCCAAAGGTGTGGACGGAGTCGGCGAAGAAGGAATGACACAAAGACAGCCTTCAGTTGATCAGCAGCCTAGTCAGGACCTCTAGCCAGGATCTCCAGCCAAAGTTCTGGTCGGAGTTCTGGTTAGGAACTGACGAGGATCTGATGTTTATTGTCTTGTTACATCCATATTTATACCAGCCGATTTTAATCCTGTCAATTTCTATTACAAAGGTTAGGGCGTTTCTTATCTCCATTCCAGGGAGTAAAGATTATGTAGCTTAACTACCCGCCTGGCACTTAATTAAGGGGTTGTATCCCCTCCCTAACCTCAGGGAAAAATCCCCACCTGGGGAAACAACCTTTCTCGGAGAGGTGACCTTGGTTAAAACACATGGCGCTAAAGAGAGCAAACATATTAAGAACAATATGCTATATATGCCAGGTCCCTTGAAACATATGCTGTGCAGATGTTTCTTTCCTGCAGCGACTGTGTCAAGCAGCAAGGATGGACCGGCTCCCGGCACCCAGTGATTTCACTATTTCACTTCATAGATATATATATATATATATATATATATATATATATATATATATATATACACTAATAAAAGAGAAACATGGTAATTAGCGTACGACTGCTACCCTTCCCATTGGCTAATCCGAGATATGCAAATTAACTGTCAGCCAAGATGGCGGCCGGCAGCCAGGCAGCTGATGCGAACAGGGAGGCTTGCTTCCTTCAGTGACAGAGGACTCCAACGTTCCCCGCCTGCCTTGCCCGCCTCTGAGCTTCAGTTTGAAACATAGTAACATTTATAGAAGATAAACAAAACCCCAGAAACCTCCTGTCAGTCAGCCTGGATCTCAGAGCTGGAGTCGCAACATTGTTTCGAATATAGAAAACAAAGGCCAGAAACCTGCTTTCAGCCGAGCCTCAGAGAGAAAGCCGGCTCTCAGCTCCAGTGACAGCCATAGAAGGTAAATAAATGCCAGAATAAAAAAAAAAAGAAAAAAAGGAGAGGTTTGGAGCTTCAGTTGCCCGCCAGCCTGAAAACGGCCCTCAGCCCCTCACCCAGACTGGCCAGGCACCCCAGTGGGGACCCCCACCCTGAAGCAACAAGATGGCGGCTAATTTGCATACTGAAGGCAGGCGGCAGCAGGCAAGGCTGTCTGCGGTCTGGGACCCGGATCTGTGACTCTGCCGGGCGGGATCAGCGGAGCCGCGAGGCCTCCTGGCACCGGGATCAGCGTGACAGGGGGCAGCGCCCAAACCCCCTGATTGCCCTGCGGCTCTGTGTGTGACAGGGTGCGGTGCCCCAACCCCTCCCCCCCCCACAGGCCCTGCTCTGTGTGTGACAGGGGGCGGCACCCCAACTCCCCAATCGGCCCTGCTCTGAGCCCGACCAGGGGCTGCACCTAGGGATTGGGCCTGCCCTCTACCACCCAGGAGCAGGCCTAAGCCAGCAGGTCGTTATCTCCTGAGGGGTCCCAGACTGCGAGAGGGCACAGGCCGGGCTGAGGGACCCCCTCTCCCCCCCGAGTGCACAAATTTTTGTGCACCGGGCCTCTAGTATATATATATAAACTCAAAGCACTAAATCAAAAAAATATATGATCCTTATGTTCATTGCAGCATTATTTACAGTTGCTGAGATATGAAAGCAACCCAAATGCCCATCAATAGAAGAGTGGATAAAAAAGCTGTGGTACAAATATGCAATGGAACATTACTCAGCCATAAAAAAAAAAACTTACCATTTGTGATAGCATGGATGGACCTAATAGATATTATGCTAAGTGAAATGAGTTAGCCAGAGTAAGACAAATACCATTTGATTTCACTTATGTGTGGAATCTAAAGAACAAAATAATGAACAAACAAAATTGAAACAGACTCATAGATACAGAGAAAAGATTGATGGTTGCCAGAGGGGATAGGGTTTGGGGGACTGGATGAAATAGCTGAAGGGATTGAGAAGTACAGATCGGTAGTTATAAAGTAGTCACGGGGATGTCAAGTACAACATAGGGAATATAGTCAATAATATTGTAACAACTATGTATGGTGCCAGATGGGTATTGGAATTATTGAGGGGAATACTATGTATAAAGTATATGATTGTCTAACTACTATGCTACACACATGAAACTAATATAAAATAATATTGTATTGTAAATCATAATAAAAAAAATTAGACAAACTCCACCTTCCCTTTTCTCTGAGCTATGCATGGAAACCTATGATATTTTAGCACTTCAAAAGTAACATGAACTGAAGCACGAAGAGTCACTTTTCTAGGGATTAGAACAACTCCTGAGGCTGATTATGACTAGGTCCCACATGCCTTCGCATCAGGAAGAACCTCTTCTACTGGATCCTAAACCAGTGTGTTGAGTTTGATGCTGAGGATGAGCCTGTGGGGTCCTGTATACAGACAGGAGGTGTGACCACAGGCAGCAGGATCTGGCCTGAGGGGGAGACCTGAGTCTCTCTCCTTTGTCAGGCTTGCCTCTCTCCCCCTCCCCGCTCCCCCCTCCCCTCCAGGTCTGAAGGACTGAGTACTTCTCTGTTAGGAGTCCTGGACTTGCTTTTCTTAGGTTTAATGTGAGTTCTAGAAAGGAGCCTGATACAAAAGAGACCCTAGCTGTAGAAGGAAGTGACTTTCAGAATTGAGGCAGGAGGAATTTAAATTCTGAGTGTAGTGAGTGACCAGATTAAATATACCCTTCAGGTGTCAAGGTAAAGAGGTAAAACCCAGAAAGGCAGTGTGCTCTCCACATTCCTGTTGGGAGGCAAACATCACCATGTGTGGAAATTGTGGCTTAGGTCTGAGTGCTGGATCTGATGTTAGCACTCTGGCATCATCACTCACTGCCTTAGGCACCCTGAAATTTAGCTGCATCCCCTGGGAAACCTGTAAAATGAGCTACCCGTGTTCCTGGTAGCATTGCCATGAGCTGGATGAGAATGAAGCAGCCCTGAGGTTTGGGGATGTGGGCAGTGGATGTTCTGGCCTTACCTTCAGGCCGGTATCGGCCACAGCTTCAGACAGTGAGACTTCTGCATTTTGTCCATTTAGGACGTAGAGTCCAGTACTCACCCAGCACTCACCGTTGCCTGAGAAAAGCCATAGGAAAGGCTGAGTTCTCCCCACTGGAGCATCACAGCCCCTTCCACAGGTGCAGGCCCTTTCCTGCATACCTCACTTAACTCATCCATGCTTCTTGCTCTCATCCCTTCTAAACTCTAAGACCCCAACCCCTCTTCCTGAAAGTAGTTGGTAGAGAATAGAGCTGCCTGCCTGGGCTTCAGCATCTGCTAACCCAACCTTTCCCAGGTCCTGCAAAGCTCCCAGAACTCTCCTCTAGCTCCATACCTGGGTTGTTTCCATCGATGTCCACAGCAATGGAGTGTACTGAGGGGTCCAGGCTGCAGTGGCAGGTACTGGTTCCCCAACCCTGCATCAGTTTGGAACAGTCAGTCCCAGAATGTACCAGCTCAGTGGCTAGGCAGAGCACTGTAGCCTCAAGGGAATCACTGGCCACTGGGTTTTTCCGGCTCACAGCTGGGAGGCCGGACAACTGCAGCATCTTCCTTATAAGTCGGTGCATGGACATGTACGCAGGGACCCCCTCAGCAGGGATCTGCAGGAAGGCAGCCCCATCACCTCGCAGTTTTGCCAGCCAGCTCTTTTCCAAGTTCCTATTCCCCTGGTTCAGGACAGCCTGGAATTCCGATAGGGCCTTGCGGAAGTGGTAGCTCCGCATCTGGGGGTTGGGGACGGGGAAACACCCTGGGTTGAGAGACTGAGGTAGGATGCTAAAGCCAAAGCAGTTGAGGATGACGTTACCAGGGAAACCAGCCAACGTGGAGTGGCCCGGGTTCTGGGAGGCCCACCACCAGGCCTGGCCCCCGATCAGCAAACCCCCTCCCTCAGCCACAAACTCCTGTAGCTGCTTAGCCTGACTGTCACTGTAAGCCTTACAGCAGTAGACAGCCAAGCCACTTGTCAGATGGGGCTTCAGACTGCATTCCAGGCCATGCTCCGACAGTAGGGCACACAGGTTTTCTAGACTTGTGTTCACCCCAACTTTGCCTGTCTGGCCTCTGGACAGCCAGCGTACAGCATTGAGCAAAAAGGGCCTCATCTTGGGAGCACAGAGCATTCCCTCATGGGCAGCTAGGACCACCCGGCCCTGGCCATAGCGGGCAGCGGCCAGGAAGCAGCCAAGTGAGGCATCTAACCCCAGCGGGAAGGCCAGGGCCCCGTGCACCAGCAGCTGTGAGGGGAGTCCTCCTGTGTTGATGTCCAGCTCTGAGATCCCTTCCAGGAGCTGGTCCTGGTCCTGCCTGAGGTCCTCCCCACACCTGGAAAGTGACAAAGGGGTCACAGTCAGTCAATGAACCATTGAAATGAGTTCACTACATAGAGAAATCAATGTGTGGGTACAAAGTTTACAAAGTTCATGCCAAGCTCCTTATTCTTACTGATAACATTTAGGATTTTAGTATGTAACCACTTATTTTTTTTCACATCTAAGGCATATTTTTTCACCTCTTAACAATCGATGGCATATCATTATTTAATTGGCATATTTTGTTCTATCTCAGTGACTCATAAAATAATGGTGCCTCTTATAATCCATGTTGTCCTAGATTTGATGAAATACTGAAGAGTAAGGTAGTGACCTTATTTGCACATCTTAAAATCTACATTCTCCAAATGAACTCTTCCCATGTCAGTCAACTGAATGTGGACTAGTCTGGCTTGAATTTCCTATATTTTCAAATTTGAAAATATGAATGAATTAAACTAAAAGAGATATTCTATTACTCCTGAGAAAGTAATCCTACTTACACATATCTCAGAGCTAATTTTCTGCAAAGGCGGGCTGTAAAAAAACATAAAATTACCCTCACCTTGTGCTAGTTCTGATCTAGGAACACATTACAAGTATATTGTTTAACATTATACTTGAAGACTTATACAAATGCACAGTCTTTTTTTTTTAAATTCTCACTTAAATGTGATAATGTACTTACTACTTTTTATTGAGAAATGTTCAAAATGTAATGAATTCAGAAGAGGTTTTATATTCCAGGATTTTTCTTTTTTTAAAAAACACACACAATTTGTAGATACTCTAAATGCCAAACAACAGGAAACTGATTAAATAAGTTATGGTTAACCCTAGACAGCATACCATGTAGTAATTAAGATAATAATTAGATAGTGGAAAATGCTTAGGGAGAAAATTTTTTAATCAGATTAAAAGATACTGTGTACTAAATAAGCCAATTTGCAAAACAAACAAACAAAACACCAAACACAAAACAGAGCAAAAACAAAAAACAAAACCAGATACAGAAACAAGATTTAAAGCACATTTATCAACATGTCTTCAGTAATCATCTTGACTACTGGGATTATAGGTGATTTGAACTATCTTTATAAAATTTTGTCTCATAATAAAAATATTTAAATCAAATGTTTAAAAAATAGTTTATTCATTTGAGTAGCACAACATTATTGAAAAAAGTAGCTCTTGTACAGTTTCTCCTTAATTTCTTCTCAGCATGAAAATGAGGACTGTATCTTAGTTTTGGCATCTGACTTTCAAACTAACATGGCAAATGTCATACAAGTTCAGGCATCAGTTTTTGTTTATTTTTAATAAAAATATGTTTTTATTGATTTGAGAGAGAGAGGAAGGGAGAGAGAGAGAGAAACACTGATGTGAGAGAGACATTGATTGGCTTCCTCCTGTACACACCCCGACTGGGACCGAACCTGCAACCTGGACAAGTTCCCTAACTGGGAATCAAACAGTGACCTTTCTGTGCATAGGACAATGCTCAACCAAGAGCTATAGTTTTACCTGTAGCTTTCTCTACTTATACAGATTCTAGACTTATTTTGGAAAGTAATGCCATTGAGCTATAAGACTTAGCTTGTATGATGCTTCTATGTCTCTGGATCTATTTTAGTTCATCAGTTTATATTGTTCATTATATTCCACACTAGAGGCCCAGTGCATGAATTTGTGCATGGGTGGGGTCCGGCCAGCCCTGCCCCAGTGGGGGCCCATCAGGGCCAGGCCAGCCAGGGGGAGGGGACAGTGGGAAGTTGGCCAGCCAGCCACCCCCATTGGGGTTGGGAGGGTGATCGAGGCCGGGGCCAGCTGCCCCCCACCCCTGTCCCCGCAGTGCATGTCATAGCGACGGGTCATTCCGGTTGCTTAGGGTTTTATATATAGATATAGATATAGATATAGATATAGATATAGATATAGATATAGATATACAGATATATAGATATTTAGATATAGATATGAGTGAGATCATGTGATATTTCCAACCTCAGGGGGAAGGAGTGGGGGGAGTTGGGGGGAAGAGATCAACCAAAGGACTTGTATGCATGCATATAAGCATAACCCATGGACACAGTCAGTGGGGGGAGAGGGTGAGGGCATGTGCCGGGGTGTGGGTGGTGTGTGTGTGGGGGGGGGACAAGTGGGAAGAGGTCAATGGGGGAAAATGAATTCATATGTAATACTTTAAACAATAAATAATTTTAAAAAGACACTATCTTCTTCCATTATATCTTATTAAGAAATGTATTGCCAATAAAATTTTAGTATTTGTTTTTAAAAGACTTAGCTTGTAGACTTGGCTTCCATTCTTAACTGTTATCCCAGAATCTTCTGAAAAGCACCTCCTAAAATTTCACCTAATGATAGAAAACCTTCAATATGGAGAGCCATCATTAATGAAATTGCTAACCTGAGGGTTCACACTCATGTGCTTATAAAAATGTCTAACTGCTACCATCCAGCTGAGTGGGTGACTGATGGGCCCTGGTTCTGGTGGGCAGGGTAGGATCCTGCTTCCTTCCTTGACCCAACAGCTTGCTGACCCTGTGAAAATTACTTCCCCTCTCAAAGTTGCCATTTGCTCATTGGTTTCTGGGCTTATTAAATAGTGATCATGATCTTTAGGGAATAATGGAGACACTGTGGCAAAGGGAATGGAAAGTTAATCCTCATTTCAATAAGGTCATTGGGAAAGACTCCCTGAAGGGACATATTACTCACCTGACCTCGAGCGGGATCTTGGGCACCTTCTTAGGCCTCTCTCCCCATAGGTGTCGGTGAAGTACACTCCAGCCACACTGGTCACCAGGTTCCCAGGGAACCTGGATAGCACCTTGTCACAACCGTGCTGACTGGCCCAGTACCAGGCCTGGCCCCCAATGAGCAAGCCCCCACCACGTTTCACAAACTGGACCAGCTCTGTAGTCAGGGTTTCATTGTAGGCATTGATGCAGTAAACCCCTGAGAGGTCTCCCAGTTCTGGCTGAACCTGTGCCTCAATCCCAGAACCCCGCAGGATGGTAACTAGTGGTTTCAGGGAGGTGTGCACTCCCACGGGAGCCCCAGGAGAGGGACGGAGCCAGTTCACTGCATTGAGAAGAAATGGAGCTAAGCCAGCATCCAGCAGGTAGCCCTCATGGGACACCACCACCAGGCGGCCTCGGCCATAGGAGGACGCAGCAATGAGGACCTGGCCCTTCTTATTCACCAACACTGGGAAGGCAGCCTCTCCAATGAGAAGCAGTTCACACGGGATGGGACCTTCAGGGACATCCCAGCTCGTCACTCCATTTAGAAGGGCCTCGAAAGCCACCATGGGAGTTGTTGCCATGATCACTCAGCTGCTGCAGAGAAAAGCAAAGACAGTGTGATCAGAACAGGTGAAGCAGTGGGTGAACACAAGAAGGAATGAATACATTCGGATGAGAACCATTTCTTGGGTCCCCACTATGTGCCAGCACTGGTGGTGCAGCAAGGAACAAATCAGACAAGGTCCCCACTTTTCTGAACCTAGTATTTTATAAGGGGAAGGACCATAAATAGGTCAACCAACAGATCAATAAAATGCAGCAATTAATAAGTGTTATGATGAAAATAAAACATAGTGATGTGTCGAATGACTGGAAAAGTGCTTTAGACTCGGTGACAGGAAGGCATTTATGAGAAAGTGACATTGAAGCTGAAACCCGACATGTTAGTTGAGACCTGACAGGGTGCTGCCGGAGAAGAGCATTCCCACAAAGAGAAGTGACAGGGAGGCCGCAGAGAAACGGGCAGGGAGGAGCAGGACCTGAGTGGAGTGGGGAGGGGCTGATCCTGTGGGGCCTGGTAGATCAATGCAACTGGTGACTTAGTATTTCATTTCCCTGGACAAAAAGGTTTGTTGACGGTTGAGAAACTGCATTTGTTCTGATAGCTTCTTTGACTAAACGAGTTAGAAATGCCTCCCAATTTATCCTGTCTAACTAGGGAGTTCACTTCCATTTGGGTAGCATTCTGTAATTTCTGGAGCTCTTTTAAAATTCGCTGCTCCTAAAAGTAGTGACATTAGCCCCCTCAGAGCAGGTCCTCTTGAATAAATTAATTGTCTCAGTTTCCCCATTTGTAGAAAAAAATCATACATCTCTTAGAGGATTGTTTTTGAAGATTAAGAGAATGCATGTAAAAACGCCTTTTCCTGAGCTGGGTCCACAGTGGGCACTGAGAAAATGTTTCTGTCCCTTTGCTTCCCTTTGGATCTTCCCCAAGTGACAAGGATCCTGTAGTAGATGCTTAGGTGCTGGTGCCATGTCCCCTCCGCCCACTTCTAATTTCAGTGGATGCTTGAGATGCATCCTAGAGTCCTCAAAGGGTCCTCGGAGGAACTGAGTTCTGGCTGCCCACAGTGGAAAACAGCTCAGTGACATGCCTCATCCTTCACTCCCTTTCCCACCTTCCTTGTCTCCTCCTCCCTATGTCCTCACTCTGGGTTCTGAGCTCACTTCCCAAATAAACTACCTGTACACCAGTTCTTCTGCCAAGCTTTGCTCTGGGGAAGCATCTAAACTAAGACAGATACCAAAGCTCTCTGCTGCATTTGCCGCCTTCCTCCCTTCTGTTTCCATCTCATTCCTTCATTTCATTCCCTTTAGTTTACATTCATATATATCTAGACAGGACCAAGTTAGTTTCTTCCCAAGATGTATTCTTATCTACATCTTTCTCAAGCCATCCTACAGACATCTCTCCCTAATAAGAGCCCTCCACTTTCATCCACTGTCCATATGGCAAAAGTTGAGTGCCTCACTCTGGGTTTTCAGGTCTCCAGGGCCTGAACTTTCCATTTTTTCCTGCACTTCCCTTTCCTGCTATGTTGGTTCTCCACGAGATCTTTAGTTGGCTTGACTTGTACTTCCTATAAAATTCCAGGGTGGTTTTTTGTTGTTGTTGCTGTTAGTTCTCACCTAAGGATATTTTTTCCATTGATTTTTGGAGGGAGGGAGGGAGGGAGAGAGGGAAAGAGGGAGAAGGAGAGAGAGAGAGAGAGAAAGAGAGAGACCTCCTGCACATGCCCCTGCAACCGAGTTATGTGCCCTTGACTGGGAATCCAACCGAGTTATGTGCCCTTGACTGGGAATCCAACCCTTCTGTGTGTGGGCGGAGGCTCTAACCATTGAACACACAGACCAGGGCTTTTTTTTTTTTTTTTTTAATCTACCATCTCTTTCTCAGTATTGCTCTTAGGACAATAAATTCACAAAGACAGACATCTCCTGCCTGGAGTGTGTGGGTGCGTGATCCCAGCTTTTGGGTTCAGGAGTGGGAAAGGCAGGAAAGAGTTCTGGTACCTGAGGTCAATATCCTGTTCATTACCTCTGAGGTGACAAGTGAAGTCTTTCATTAATCTGGACAGCCCTCGTTTTACAGGAAAAACACACAAAACACAGGAGATGAGTAATATACACTTGGGACGCTGACCCCCAACTCTATAGACCGAAGTGCGCGCGCACATACACCCATCTTTGTCAAATTCTTGACTCACAAGTTCAAAGGGGCGAGAGAAAAGTGTTTTGAGACAAATAGTGAATACCATCCGACCGGCGAAACAAAACGAAATAAAAACCTGGCGGGAAGAAGAGACAGACACTCTGATAGAAGGAAAGTTCCGCGCATGCGCCTGCCACCCGGGGGTCGCAGTGTGTAGGGTGCTTGGGCACCCAGCCGGAGCTCGGATTGAAAACTCAGGCGCGAAGGAGGAGAGATAAACCAAAGAACTTATGTACTTATATGCGCAGCCCACGGACACGGGCAGTAGGGTAGTGAAAACCTGGAGTGGATGGGTAGGGGCAGAGAGGAGAAGGGGAAAAGGGAGGGGAATGGGAGATATCTGTAGTACTATCAACAATAAAAAATATATTTAAAAAAAGAAAAAGAAAAAGGAAGAAAACTCACGCTTAAGTCTTCCGGGTCGCGGCGCTGGCTCCGGTGCAGGGACTAATGCAGGCGGTCTTGGCTGGTGGCCAGTGGGGCGGGACTAGGTGAGACTGGCGGACACGCCCTGGAGCCAACCTCCCTCTGTCACTCCCCGGCCGCTGCACGTGGGGCGACCCAGCGGCAGGGGGGCGTCTGCAGAGTGAGCGGGGGTCCCTCCGGAAGATGGGGTCCCTCGGCCTGGCCTGCGGGAATCGACCGAAACGGGCTCTCCCACATCCCCTGAGTGGTCCCGGAGTGCGAGAGGGCACTCTGCAAAGTTGCAACGCAAGTGTGCAATAAACCAGATTTTGGGCCGACAGTGCCCCAGCAACAACTTAACGCACTGCAGGAGGTGGAATCGGGTGGCCCTGAGGAATCGGGCTCTGTTCACCCATGAAGTCACCACTGCTGGGCAGCTCCTCCGTTGAGGGTCTGCCCCCTGGTGGTCAGCACCTGCCATGCAACCTGTGGTGGGGCCATTTGCAGAGATCCAGGGAATTCAGCAGAGAGAACTGGGCCTGGGATTATACACAGAAATCGTTCCTGGTGATATTGCTGCTGGGAAGGAACTGTGCCAGTTACATCCCCACACAAGTCCCTGCTTGGCTGCAGAAATTACCGCTAAAGCTATCGAGTAGCTGCTGCTTGTATTTCACCTAAGGGGTGGGAAGGTGAAAATCAATGTGGGAGAGTAGTACTAGGAGATTTGCGCGAATCTGATTTTACACAGTTTTGCATAACAGATACACCATTTTTAATTCAGTGAAGCTTTATTTTGCTTTGATTTTAGGGGGAGAGAGAGGATACAGGAAGGGTAAGTGTTATGACTGGAGGATGATTATGGAGAAGGGGATTTTAGACCCCTTATTTTCTAAAACTCCCATTGGGGCTACCTTTGGTTTTACAAGTAAATTATCACTCTGTTTTTAAAGTGATAAGATGTACCTATTTTTTAAGAAAAGGTTTATGACTGTCTCTTCATAAGCATCATTTAAAAGCAGCAGCAGTTACTCCCACAAACATGTAGTGGACTCTTCAGTCATATTCTCTTCTGTCTGGGGGCTTCACCACACCTGTAGGTCATGCTCTTTATAAAACAGATAGCACCTCCTCCAGGATATTGCTGTCCAGTTCCCTCTCCTTTTTGTGTTTTTATTTTTGTGATTTCTTTCCTAGACTAAAATACAGATTGGTTAAACTCCCTTCCTTGCATCCCTGTGCAGAAGACACCATTTCTTCCCCATGGTTCACCCACTCCTTTGTCAAGAATGAGGCTCAAACCTCAGCTATGCAGCCTTGCTTCTACCACTTTATTCCTTCCAAGGTCACCAAGGGACTCCTTTCCACACTCCATCCTTACCGCTTGCCTCCAATGCACACTTTGCAGTGGTTACTGATTCATTGTCAGTCTTTTCTCTTAAATTGACATAATGCTATATTATTACTATACTTCTCTTTGGAACTGTACCAAACCATACTTTCAGTATTTTAAAATAGTTATTTTTTCTTTGAGAGTTGGAGCAACCAGGAATGAAGTGCTGATTCTTATTTTAATACATCTTGAACTGCTTCTTGTTATGGACCAAACTGTGTTCATCTCTTCCCCCAAATTTATATTTTGAAGTCCCAGTCCTCAGTACCTCGGCCTGGCCTCGGAATGTAACTGTATTTGGAGAGAAGATCTTTAAAGATGTGATTAAATTAAAATGAGGCCGATGAGGTGGGGCTCTAATCCAATATGGCTGATGTCCCAATAATAAGATGAACACTGCAGTTAGTGTTCATTCTAAAGTTCAAATCTGGTTATGAAAGTTCCTGCATACTTCTGGCTTCCCCCCTGCCTTGGGCTATTGACTTAGATATCCAGCCTCCACATGGATTGACCTTTGCTCAGTTCTTCATCCTGATTTAACACTGTGGTTTCTCTTTTCTCCCAGGACTCTACCCGCTCATAAAGTGAAATTTCCTTCTCTAGAAAATGACTCCTTTCTTATCTTAGCTCAGTCACCACTTCCCTAGAAAAGACTTTCCTAACCTGCAAACTATACCAAAGCCTCTTCCTGACTACACAAATACCTCTCTTCTTAGTTCTCATCTAGGATGTAATTTTATTTTATTTTTTAAAAATATATTTTATTGATTTCCCACAGAGAGGAAGGGAGAGAGACAGAGAGTTAGAAATATCGATGAGAGAGAAACATCGATCAGCTGCCTCCTGCACACCCCCCACTGGAGATGTGCCCGCAACCCAGGTACATGCCCTTGACCGGAATCGAACCTTGGACCCCTCAGTCCACAGGCCGACGCTCTATCCACTGAGCCAAACTGGTTTCGGCTAGGATGTAATTTTATATTTAGTTGTATAGTCCTCTGGTTACTGTTGGCCTCTCTTATAGGATCTCATGCTATGAGTATAGAGTTTGCCTCCGTTTGCCCACCATTGGATCCTCGTTGCCTGGTTTCATTTCTGGCATGTTGGAGACTCTAGTTTCTTAACAAATATATAAATGTATATTGAATAAATGAATAAGTAATAGTGAATGTTCAAGAAATTTCTATTCTATTAATGAGTAATTAACTGAGTATTAGAAGGACTAATGGGAACCTGTTTGCCACAGGACCAAATGCAATCAGGTTTCAGAAAGAAAGAGCAAGGAGAAACCCACACAAGGGAGACAGTTTGGATAAACCTATCAGGATTTTGAATACTCAGGATGGAAGCCCAATGTGAGGTGAGGTTAGTTGAGTTCTTAGGTCTCATATCAGGAAACAGTTGACCTTCAGGAAGCCAAATGAGAGATGGGTACAGGGGGAGTGGGTCAGAAGTGTGACATGTCAAACGCTGAGCTCAGGATTTCTTCTGTATGTTTGTGCTCTTAGCTTTTTACCAGTCTCTCATGGAATAGAACCATGACTTCTTGGTTCATAGGTTGATGCTCAACTGCTGAGCCATGCTGCCAGGGCCCACTCTTGTAAAGACTCCTGAGCATATCTTGGTGTTGATCTAATAGAAGAAAGAGCTTTGAGCAAAGGTGAAGCAAGCCCACCATCAACAAGGTACTTGCCCTTTGGGATCAGGAGTTGGCCAAAAAATGGAAACAAAACAACATAGGATTCAGAATAAAGGCCTGTTTAACACCTGGAAATAAAAGATGGTGACTAGCATGGGTTCTGACTAAAGGGTCATTGCTCATGTGGAGGTGCAGATCCCAGACCTTTCATCCCACTGAAGGGAAAATAGAAACTACTCCATGAAAGTCAGCCTATTCTCATTGAGCACATATTCTGGGAGGCATTTCGGGAGATGGTGATGATCCTATGGTCAATAAGTCTAGAGGAGAGCAGGCATGAAAAACAGCCATATCAGATCAATTTCTATAGATGCTAAAATTGGTTGCAAATTAAGTACGAGGGAACAGAAAGGGAGAAGCAATTGTTTCTAATTCAGCTTTCAGAGGAGAACTTACAGAGAAGGCAGCATTAAAACTTAGCTTTGAAAAAATCTATATGACCTTTGTGGGCAGAGAGAGCTTTGCAGTATAAGACTGCATCACAGGCACAGCGTGGAGATGTGAAAGCGAAAGGCTTGATTTGAGAAAGACCAATTGTTCATGGTGACTGACACTTGTTAACAGGACTCACGTAGTGCTAGCTCTGAAGAAACCCTGGGCCAGGTGTTGAGGTTGTATGAAGGAATCTGGATTGTGGTCTACAGTCTGGAGAAAGGTGCTTAAGAGATGCCATGTAGGAAACACTGAGGCCACCTCCTCAACTCTGTCCCCTACTCCACCCTTATTGTCCTTTCTAACCAAACCCCAACTCTGTTCAGATAACCCATCTCTTCCTTACAGCATGCAGGGGAAAGTGAAGCCATTTCCAGTTCCAAGGCTAGATATGAATGGGCTTAAGCCAGGCATGCTAATGCATATCCTTTGCACTGCAATGCCTGCTCTTTCTGGGTTATAATCAATAAATATACATAAGCAATATGATACTTAATTATCCAGCATATGCAAGAGGCATACACAAATCAGAATTGTTATTGTAAATCAGTCCATTTTTGTCAATTAGAAGAAAATTCCTTCAGGAATTCTCACTAAGCCAAATGCAGGGATTACTTCATAGATATGCTTTCCAATATGGGCCAACATGAAGAATTACTGGCTGTCTTCTTCAATTATTTTTAGTTATATGTTAAAGTTATGTGACCCATATATTCTTTCCTCAAAGGCCCCCAAGAATCTGGAAAGGATTAACCAGACTCTAATATAGGAACAGAGATGGATGAGTCCATCTGTGTGCATTTACTGGCATGAGTCACTGGGGAGGTTGACTAAGTCATTATTTAAGATGATCCAGAACAGGTGTCTACAACTGTTTTAAGAATAAGTACTGTGCTTGCCATGAAAATGGCCTGCTCAGGTCTCCAACTTTGGGGATTGACAGACAGTCTCAGCTGGTGCTCTGGAATCCTGGGCACCAAGGCCAAGGATGATAACCTTTATTCAAATTATAGCATGGTCCATCTCTAAGGGCAAGTGATTAAGTGTGGTGGGGGTACTAAGGTAGGCCCATTCCAGGGAGACATGGGACTCTTCTGATGGGTGACTTTGGCTCGAGGACTCTCCCTTGGCCTTGACCAAACTTTCTGAGTCCTGCACTGCAGTGTAAGCATTTCCTTCCTTTGCTCTCTCCCATATCACATATCACAGTCTGATGGCTCTCCTAGCATATATTTTTTTAAATATATTTTATTGATTTTTTACAGAGAAGAAGGGAAAGGGATAGAGAGCCAGAAACATCGATGAGAGAGATCAATCAGCTGCCTCCTGCACGCCCCCCAGTGGGGATGTGCCTGCAACCAGGTACATGCCCTTGATCGGAATCGAACCCGGGACCCCTGAGTCCGCAGGCCAACGCTCTATCCACCGAGCCAAACCGGTTCGGCTCTCCTAGCATATTTGATCTCATCTTGGCTTCTGACTCCCGGAGGACCAGGCTAACACAAGTACTGCTAAAATTATATCTCCCAAATTAAAACACTCAAGTGTATTTATTAAAATAATCTTGTAGTAAGAATAAAAAGCAAAGACATTAATTTGAGAATATTTATGAAAGACTTAGCCACTACATTTCCATTCTCTAATATGTGTATGATAACCTTTATTCAAATTATAGCATGGTCCATCTCTAAGGGCAAGCTCCTGTCTGCCTAT